ATTCACCCAAAATCTTGAGCAATCGGGACTCATTCTCCTGCCCATGAACAACTTATGCGGAGTTATCCGTTTGCTTTCTCTAAATACGGGCTTAGAATGATTAAAGTTGTCTTGGTCCTTTTTCTATCCATCGTGGAGCTAGATTGTCGCGTAACTCGGCTTCAAAAAGGAGCTTATGTTATTCAGTCACACACACAAACAGATTTGAATGTCAGCCTACCAATGAAGGCGTTAACATGCACACACGCTATAGACAAGCGCACAGACAGGCAACTTGATTGATAGGAGAGCAGATGAAATGATGCTGGGTTACCCGTCAATTTGGTTGAAATTCGGACAAGCAGAGGCAAACGGGCCGGATAGATTTATAGGCGACCTTAGTTACCTCAATTCTGGTTCCAACATGTAAAGGGAAGAAGCACGAAATGTAAAAATCACACACGTCAAGTTGCCAGTTCACAAAGGATGGACTTCGGCTGTCGTGCTTGCGAGCTTCTCGAACCCGATCCAAACGGACTGTGTGCCTGTACCACTCCATCTGTGGGCTTCCCAGCTGGCCGACCGGTTTAATAACAATTTGCATCGTCACCAGTGGTAACGGGCGCTTCTTCTAGCCCTCGTCATGACGACGACTTTATAGTGGTGAGGGTTGACTGAAGCTAGAAGGTGGTGGGTTCTCATTCTTGGTCTCACCCAACCCCTCAGCGGGACTCGAAACAGGCTGGCTTAGGAGCAGATGTGCTTCTATGGGTCTTCGAGACATGCTAGACTCCAATGAAGTATCGAGATTACTGGTATTTATAAGTTCCTGTTGTTCGATCATCTGCTCAATATGTCGTTTTCATCGGCACACCATCCCCCCTAAAGACGATTATCACACCTTCATTGACTGCCAGTGAGCAGGACACACGAACATCTTCCATCTAAACAAAAGGGGGCACAGCCATGCATCACATGTGATGATAGCAGACGGCTGAAGAGGCCAGGGGGAGATCGAAGAGCAGTTGGGCATATAAAATGTAAATGGGCTGTGATGAATCGTTAGAAGGACTTTAATCTGATGTGAAAGTATCTCATACAGAGTAACAGGATTCAGAAATCATTTGTCCGAATGTGTTGAGATCTACCTATGTCCTTTTTCATGAGTCATTTTTACCAAATAAAAGTCACCATAACAATTATAATTTTTTCTATAATTATACATACTACTTATATGCAAGTTCATCACCAATAACCAATGGTTTGCCCAAACCATCCTGCCCATAGACCCATTCGGGTTCCGGCTCGAAGGTTGGGCGGTAGGGGGGAGTGAGTCGAGAATGATGAATGGACAGAATGAGTGGCTG